ACCTAGTAAGGCTAAATAAACGTAAGATTAAAAAGGTATTAACCCCCTAGTAAAAGGCTAGTAATAGCTAGGTTAAGAATTAGCTTCTATAGAATATAAGACCTATATTTTAATTATTACTTCTTTTTACTAGTACTATTATACTAAAAGAAGATAAAGGTTATTTTAGTAGTCTTTATTAATAATTAGTAAATATTTATAAGGTTTTATAAGTAAAAAAGTAATATTTACTATATAAAGTAAAAGTAAATTAAAGTATCTATAGTAGATTTAATTATAGCGTTTAGACACTAGTTTATAGTAAGTAATAAAGGTATTTTTAACCTTAAAAAAGTTATCTTATAGTAATAAGTTAGTAAAAGCCTAGTAAGATATAAAAAGAAATAAATATAAGAAAGATTCTTTAACACTAGCTAGTACTAAGCCTTTTAGTACTAAATATCTAAAGTAGCTAAGTTATTTAAGAAAGTTACTAAAATAGTAAAGATAGGCTTATAAATAGCTATAAACTTATTAGCCTAAATTAAAGTACTTAGCGCTATAAAAATATTTATAGTGTCTTAGTAATTACCTAGGATTATAGTAGTATACTAAATAGATAAATATTAGTAAAAGCTTATTAAATAAAGGGGGAAACCTAGGTACTAGTATATAGCTATTAGTATAAGTAATATATTATATATATCTAGTACTACTATTAAAAGTAAATTAATAGTCTAGGATTAGAAGAGTATTAGTAGAAGTATACTTAGCCTTTTAGTCTTTAATAGTAGTATAAATATAATATATATAAGGCTAATATAATAAAACTAGTCTTTTTAGAAAAGGATTAAGGATTTAGATCTTATTTAGTAGGTTATTACTAAGAGGATTAGGAAGTTAAGTAACCTTATTATTAGGATTATTTATACTAATTTTATCCTTAGTGTTATAAAACTTATTATTAAAGCCCTAGGAACCTAGTAAAGTAAAGTTATAATCTTAAGGTATAATAAATAGTAAAAGGCTAAGAGAATACTAGTTAAGACTAAAGGGAAAAGTATAATAAAAGTTACTTTTACTTTAGTTACTATTTATATTATTATTATATTTTAATAAGTAATAAATTAATCTAAAACTATTAGAAAATAAAAAGTTATATTTATTAGTAGTATTTTTATACTTACTATTTTTAATAAAAAGGCTTACTTTATAAGTAGTTTAGTAGGCCTATTAAAATATAAATAAGTTAAAATAGCTAGTTAATTACTAATAAAAAAGAGTAAGTTATAGTAATATTAGCTTAAGTATAGTAAAGTCTAGCTAATTACTTCTAATATATAGCCTAATTATAAATAGCTTAATTAAGATAAGTTATAAAAGGATTAGTACTAGTATACTATAAATTCTTCTTTTATAATCTAAGGAATTAGCTAAGTCTTACTATTATATTAGTTATTATTTATTAAAAATTAGTTATTAGAAATCTAAGAAAAAAAAGAAAAATAAATTAATAATTTAATAAAACACTAGTAAAAAAAAAAGTAGTAATAATAGTATAAGAACTTAATAAAAGGCTATAATAAAAAAAAAAGATAAAGTTTATAAAAGTAAATAAATAATAAAGAAGTAAAGCTTAAAGAGGTAGCTCTAAAGAGAAGTATAAAAGGCCTTATAGATAACTAATAGGCTAACTAAACCTTTTTAAGGATATACTAAATTAAGGCTAGTATAGTATAACTAAGATAGTTATATAAGAGAGAAGTATAATTATTATAGGACAATAAGTAATTACCCTAAAGTCCTAGGTAGACTTAGTAGGTTAAAGGAATATTATTCCTAATATAGTTTAGTAAGCGTTTTACCTAGTAGGGCTAAATAAACGCAACATTAAAAAGGTGCTAACCCCCTAGCAAAAGGCTAGTAATAGCTAGGTTAAGAATTAGCTTCTGTATAATACAGGACCTATGTTTTGATTATCACTTCTCTTCACTGGTGCTGTTATAACATCGCACTACATAGCAGCCTGACAGGAAAACACTGTTAGATTGCCCGCGTCCCCGTTTCTTCCTCCTTGCTTGGCGGCCTGGCCTTCTCTCAAGTCTTGATGCTAGTAGAAGTCGGGACCCATGGTGGCGAAGCTTCCTTGGCAAAGGTGGAAACTTGGGAAAAGGAACACGAAGAACAAACAACCCCTGTTTCCCCGGTCATTGGTTTACCACTTTTTTCTCACTATAGCTTTGGCCCCCGTCCTCTCTCGGACCCCGATAACCGAAGGAGAAGCTTGACCGTCTCCTTGATGGGGACGCTGGTCGACGACGGTGGGCCCAGTATTATTATTCATTCTTTTTTTACTTCTTCACCTGTCTTTTTTTTTTTTTTTTTCTTTTTTCCCCCCCTCCGCGCAGAGGTAACCCTCGCACGACGGGGATATTTTATTAAACTGATCCACGGATTGCTCTTCACTTGGCTGTTTGACTACTGTCACTATCGCCGTTGGGTCACTTCCTTATGGCGATACAACAGCGTCGTACCATGCAGCACCCCTTTTGGCCATGACCAGAATGCATGTCTTTGGTATATTTCCCACATTCCAAAGCCACCATGCCTTACCTCCTTGGTTATGGCACTGGTGGAGCCGTGCCCAGCGCTACCTAGGGCCGACATCAGGCGTGCAGTAGGCAGGCAGCCGTATGCTTGGGTCCAGCTCAATTATCTAATTTTATCCACTGCATCGCGAGTTCTCCGGGCTGCTCAACGCTAAGCAACTCTGTGAAACTGGACCGTCATCGCCGAATGAACATGCGCCAGTCCATGACACAAAAAGCCCGTCAACGGTAAGTGGCCTTGGGCTGGCGTCTTAGCCTCTTTCTGCGAAAGCCAGGGCGGCCGAAGCCGCCACCGGTCTTTCCTCTTACAAAGCGGACCGAGAAATTGGCAAATGTGTATCCAGCAGCCCCCAGTCTGCAGGCTCCCTCCGACTGGTTTCGTGCCATTGTTGCCGGCGGACCCGTTCGGCGGTGTCCGCGCCGCCCGACCCCCTCCACATATCCCGCATGCAATAACTTCTCGTCCGTCTTCCAACGCCGCCCGTCACTAAGGTCAGCTCCGCATCAGCTCCCAAGCATAGCTGGGTACGGGATTACTGAGAAGCGCGGAGGCCACAGAGACTTCAATTGCACCTCAGCTAAAGTCAGATTCTTGGCCTTCCGCTGATCGCCTGCCAGGCTTGTAGTGTCCCATGCGCGTGCATGCGCTCGGCAATCCCAGTACTATGAAGATGTCGTACTTCAACGTTGGATTTGCCTATCACTGTACTGCGTCGTTTGCCTCACAACAACCAGAGAATGGTAGGCCTCGACACGTCGAACTCCGTTCACCTTTGCTATTTTTACCTCACAGGAGATGAGTGAGAGGGCTCGGCTATCGCCACCATCCTCGTTGCCGCCGTTGGAGCAGCATCTATAGAGCAGTCGGCCGCTGTCTTCGAGCCGTATCCGCCTTTCAGATGGCAAACATGCTGTCGCAGGACCCGATATTCCGTTAGGGACTTGGCTGGCAAAGGCGGCGGCCACGCGGACGTGCGAGGCGTGCCTAGTGGTCATCGAGAAAGCAGTCCCCCAGGCCATAAACTCGGGGCTGCTATGAGAATGCGGCGTCTCCATTTGGTTATCAAGAATTGTATTATTGACCACCTCATTCCCCAGCGTCAGACGAGGATTTTTCCACCATTCGCTTCGATTGATGGGTCTGGGATCGCGGTAAGCTTCATCACGAAGCCAGTAAACGATCCACAGTAACGAGTCACTCTTCACATTTTATTACCGAAAGGTGATTGCATTTCACCGCTTATGGAGTGTGCACAGTATCAGTCGATCCTGACGGAGGATTAATATGGGAATCACTTGTATTTCTCATCCAGCTCTGGGGGTACCGGCAGAACGGGTTTAACGAACGGCTATGAAAATAAAACACACGACTGATATTCAGATGTTCGGATTGTCAAAATTCCCGGCTGTGTTCAGCTTGAATACCGTCATCACAAGGAGATCCATTTAACGAGTAGTATGAGCAGACATGAGTTCGGTGGAAATGATAACGGCCGATGCCACACTGATGGATTGAATTTCTCAAGGGGGCCAAAATATTTATCCGGCTGGGTCGGCGATTTCGCATCATCACTCAAGCACCTTACGTCATACAACATTTTGCCCCTCTTCAACGAGCAAACAAAACACAATCGAAAGCTGCAGCACCCTTGAGGGACTTATCGAAACAACTTACAACTTTGCAGCTATCTCGCCCGCCAGCGCACTTAACCGTAATGACTGTCAAAATATTCCTCACAGGGGCCACTGGCTACATTGGGGGCGATGCACTCTACCACCTGTACAAGAAGCATCCCGAGTTCGAATATGCGCTCCTTGTGCGCTCGGAGGACAAGGCGAAGAAGGTTGTCGAAAAGTACCCAACAGTCCGCATCGTTCTCGGGGGGCTCGACGACTTCGAGACTCTCGAGCGCGAAGCGTCGTGGGCCGACATTGTCATACGTGAGTGGCATTTCCTACCTCTCCCAGCTTAACAATCGCTTCGCGTGTGCTCACACCCGCCTTCCAAGATACCGCCGACTCCTCGGACCACGCCGGCGCCGCGACAGCCATCTCCAAGGGCCTCGTGCAAGGTCACTCGGCTTCCCGGCCTGGTTTCTGGCTGCACACGGGCGGCACTGGCATCCTGACCTACTTTGACTCCGAGGTGAAGAAGGTGTTCGGGGAGCCGGACGACAAAGTATTTGACGACTACGAGGGGGTCGACGAGCTCATCAACCTGCCGGCCGCCGCCTTCCACCGTAACGTGGACGAGATCGTCCTCAACACTGGTAGGGAACACGCCGCCTCGGTCAAGACGGCCGTCGTCTGCCCTCCGACCATCTACGGCGAGGGTCGCGGGCCCGTCTCCGGCCGCGGGCGGCAGGTCTACGAGCTCGCGCACTTCGTCCTGGAGCAGAAGTACTGCCCCCGCATCGGCCGGGGCCTCGCCCGGTGGAACAACGTGCACGTGCACGACCTCAGCGCTGTCTTCGCGCTTCTCGTCGAGGCCGCGCTCGACCCGGCCCAAAACGGCGACGACGCCGGCGAGCTCTGGGGCGCCCGCGGCTACTACTTCACCGAGAATGGGGAGCACGTCTGGGGCGAGCTGTCCGAGGCCGTCGGCCGGGAGGCCCAAGCGCAGGGCCTGCTGGGGGCCGACGCCGCTGCCGGCCCCGAGGTCCGCGAGCTGTCGTTCGACGAGGCCGTCAAGTCGCCCGCCGGGTTCGAGGCGGCGAGCTGGGGGATGAACTCGCGCGGCAAGGCGGTGCGGGCCCGCAAGGTGCTCGGCTGGAAGCCGCGGGAGAGAAGTCTCGAGGACGAGATTCCGAACATTGTGCGCTCTGAAGCGGCGAGGGCTAGGCATTGAGGGTTGTTGCGTTTCCCACTTAAGAAGGGGACAAATTATCTTGATTAGCGAATAAATCCAAAATGCTGAAGTGGCGTACTTTAAAGGGTTTGGACCTTGGCGGGGATGCAAACATTGCGTTTTCGGGACGAGCTACTGCCAGCGGCTTGCTAGAGCCTAAATGGACGTATCAGGAGAGAAAGAGAACCAGTGATGAGTGCGAGTATCTCGTGTGAATTCCGTGGGGAATAAGCACCTAGACCAGAACGACGGCGGCAAGGGAGGCGGCGACGAGGACAGAGACTTGGCGAGCAATAGCTTGACGACCGTGAAGGCCATGGCCAAAAGATTAGTCACTTACCTCACTGGCGGCCTTGCGAGGACATCGCCTTGCTGAAAGATGTAGAAGGAACTCCCAAGGGATGGGTCTTCTTCGAGCTCCATGATCTGGCCTACATCCTCCCCCGGCCTGGAGCCATGCGGTTTAAAACATCTGTAGCCAACTCATACAAAGAATCCTTCCTCTAAGGGCAGGCAGAGCTGGCATTGACCGTTGATGTCGGATGCCATCTGATGGACTGGTACTATTGACAAATCAGCTTCTGATAACCACTGTTGGGTGTGGACAAATTCTCGAGTACGTGCCTGCGCGACAAGATTGTATCATGGGTTTCAAACCCCATATATCTTACACTTATTCAAAAGCGCGCCCACCAGATATTTCAAATAGGAGACGGCTTGCCCTGTTGATCGCCCAACGCTATCTGAGGGGATTACGGCCACCACCATGAGGATGGCTCGTAACCCGCATGCAAACGAAGGGCCGACGTTGAGAGAACGAAGAATTGGCCGAAAACGCCACGAAGCGCATATCTGCATTACGTGAAACCTAAACGCTCTGCTATGGCGGGGTTCGTTGCCGACTTGTGCAACGTTGATCTCGTATAGACGAGGTGCCTTTGTTCCTATAAAACACTGGATGCCCGACTCTCCGACATTGTACTCCAGCCTGTGGTACCCTAGAAGAGGGAAGAGGTACCCTAGAAGAAGAAAAAGGTATCCTAGAAAAGCCCCCCCAGGCAGGAAAAAGTATGTGTATTCTATTACACCTCCTGATATCTCATGGCCGTGTATACATCCATTCACATTTTTGTTGAAAACTTCTATTCTCCTGCCAGATCGTCATGTTAGACTCTTCCGACTTTGATGATGACTCATGCACGTCGACCCCGGGTTGCGGCAAGGCGGGCTGCGGCGATGAGGGCGGCGCCGGCGAGGGCGGAAATGTGCTCTTCACGAATTCCTTGTTCGCGGGGCAGAATAGAGGCTCGCTCGTGGTGCACAAACAAAAGAAACGCGCGGCAGAGGAACGTCGCGCGCGCCATGCACAGGGCTCGCCCGCAGGATCTTCCGCCGCGTACCGTCTGGATTTATACCTCGTCGACACTGAGGAAGCCTGAAGAGGATACAGGCTTGTCGCCGCAGGAGTGGAAGCCAGGGGCTCGTTTACTCCCCCGAGGGGGGACTATGATGAGTCCGATGAAAGAGCGTCAGTGTGGGCCATTTTCATGACCATCTGCATATTCCTTGCCTTTGGTGGCATTATATTGAAAACTGAATGGCACCGTATGCAAGTCCGATAGGCAATGCCTCTTGATGTGCATCGAGACTTCTGTCATGCTACTGAGTCTCTCCTCGTAGCTATGGTAGCACGTGTTTATTCAATTGCTGACATATTCATTCCAGACTACCAAAGACAGGACAGCAAAGCCCATCGACGCCAAAGAAGGGGAGCTATCCGTCTGCACTGGGCTGAGAGCGCTGTTGGTCTGGTTATCGGTTTCATGGAGATGTGGAGGGCCATACATAAAGGCCTTTGAATCAAGCAGATTCCGTAAAACCTTGACATTAATTGGTGTTTTCTTCGAAAATAGGTTGGTTACAAAGTTCATGCTGACTGATAATGATTCTATAACGTCCCTCATCTTGCAACTTGTTTCCCCAGCTGTACCTACAACTCCCTTGCTCCCCCAACTTGGGCTGTCTTGGAGTCAGGTCCACTGGTCACGGTCTCGGTGTCGGCAAGCTTGGGGTTCTCCTCATCCGACGTCCCCATGCAGTTGGCGGCTGGCCCATATCCGTACTCAGCCACCTCAGGGTGGCGTCTATGCCACCGCAACATACCAAACTGCACCAGAATGGTTGCGACAGTGAAAGAAACCGTGAGAGGAAAGCCGATGGGGTATCTGGGAGCGTCGGCGACGCGGAAAGCACCGAGAGGGATCGTGGCGTGGCCGACGTAAACAGTCGTCACGGTCATCGAAACGATGATGGATCGGGCTTCGGGCTCCTTACGGAGGATCTCGGCCATCCACGCCATGAGCGAGGGGCTGCCGGCGTTGGTTGCATATGTGAGGAAGTAGAAGGCAAGAATCACTCTGTGGTCGGAGGGCCAGCCGCACAGAACAGCTAAGCAGATGCCGTGGGCGGCGGCGGAAAAGATGCTGATTTGCCAGCGCCAGCGCTTCCAGTCGGAGAGCCAGTTAAGACCCACGTTGGTGGCAATCTGCAGAGCATAGCCGCCCAACGGCAAGATATTGACGTGGTACGTATCGTATACACGGTTGCCCGCCGAGTCTTTGATGCTCTCGATGTAGAGTACGAAGTACGAGTTGGCACGATGGGCCCAGGCGCTGAAGGCAAAAGAGAAGAGGAAGAAGTAGGTGACGGGGTGCACAACGAGCTTGCGAAGCTTCGTCCGGAGAACAGATGCCGGGATGCGTTTGGAGGTGTTGACGCCGAAGTCGGCCATACGTTCGCGGGCGAGACGCTTCTCGTTCTCGGTGAGGTAGATGGCGCGGGTGTTGGACGGGGAGTCGGGGACGGTCACGAATGCGATCAGGCCCTGGCCGATCGTGATTGTTCCGGCGATGATAAATAACCACTGAAATCCAGCGTACCCGTGAACACCGTTCATGTTGCGGAAGAGAGCGGCCTGCAGGGCGCCCAGGAACATGGCACCGGCAACATCACAAACGGTGAAGCAGGCAACTCGGACGGCGAGCTCGGCGGGTGTGTACCAGTTGAAGATGAGGGCGACGACACTGGGCCAGAAGGCAGAGGAGAAGAGACCGAGGAAGAACCGCAGGCCGAAGATTGTTTGAGCATTCGGCGCTTTGTATGTGCTGTGGTGGTTCGTCGGCTGTGAATCTTTCACTGAGAACACAGAGAGCAGGCGAGGCACTTACAAGAAAACCAACAAACCCCAACTCATCTCACAGATAGGAAGAAATATCGACGGCCGAAATCTTGTCTGGATCAACTGACCGGGGACCAGGCCAAGGGCGTATCCAATCGAGAAGAAGGTGTTGAACTCGACCAGCTCGTTGCCATGGAGGCTGAGCGACTCCCTCATTCCCGAGACGTAGGCTTGTGTTGTGGCGGACTGGTCCATTTCCTTCATGATGCCGGCCAAGAACATCCACGCCAGCAGCATGACGTCCAGCTTGAAAACGAGAACATTGCGAGGGTTACGAAAGTACGGGATGATCTTGGAGATGTACTTGAAGATGCCCTCTTCAGGAGGCCCGTAGTTGACGGGCTCTGCTCGGACTGCCTGTTGCGGTGTCGAAGATGACACCGATGCGGCTTCGCCCATTGCTGCAGTTCGCTGTCAAAAACGAAAAAACAACAGTCGAACGACTTTTTTGCGGAGCTCAAACGGCAGGGCGATCCGGTCGGCAGGAAAGGAACCCCAGTCACCGAAATTAAGGTAGAAAACTAAGTAATGGGCGGCCAAGGTTATATAAACGACCAGCCAGGTCGCAGCAGCGAAAGGCGGCCAACAATACGACTCAGGTCATCGGGAAAGTCGCTACCTGCATAAGGTGGTTTTTCGATGTCGTGATTGCAAAAGGTTTGATTTGAGCTAGCATCCCGCGCACAACGTCCCATAATCCAAGGACGCCAGAGTCTGGGCAAAACCCACCAGGCGCCAGGTAGAAGTTGCAGTTCTTGCAGGCTGGTGGCTCCGGCTGCCAATCATGGGCGGCGGCAGAGACCGCGGTGGTCCGCCGGGGTGAAGAACCGGGTGGCGGGGGAAGGGTATTCTATGGAGGATAATACCGGTACGGGGCTGCATCGAGTCTTGGTCCAGATATACCCCTGCCGGCGGGCGATTGCGTGACCAATGGTCCAGGCTACGACATCTTCCAAACTGTTGATGGTGGTCCCGTATCAGGCAATTCTCGTCGGGCCGAAGGCGACGATGCGATAAGACGGCGTCTGACCCGGCAATGGACTATGTAGGTCTGCGTTGCTGGGTCGTCGGCGTATAGCCGCTCTGCGGATAGGTCGTGGATGAGATAATCGCGCGACAACTTGAACACGAAAGCAGGTAAATGTATGGCATATATCCTTATCCGCTCAGTGGACGGACCACAGATTCGTCCGCCAAGACTCATCTTTCAGAAAAGTGGCAACCTAACCTATCTCACTAGAAGCACCTCTTCTGGATGAGTAGAGAGTCTATTGACACCAGAATGCCACCAAATGTAGACTTGTCAGGAACAAGACGCAATGGCACATAGCTACTTTGCCCTTCTTTTCAAGGCAATACTGTAGATGCCCGTGAACGATCGTCACGACTCTATTACGGGAATACGGGTTTCGGAAGTAGCTGGCTGACACATTACTCTCACTCATTGTCTATATGGTTAATCCATGAAATATGGCCAGACGGTAGTAGTATCACCGGAGCCAGCGACCTAAAGGACGGTCAAGCCTTCTCTGGTTATACCAAGCAATCAACCCGCCGTTGCGGCTAGCAACAATGACCCCTACAGTTCAACGTCGTTCATAGCTGTTTTAGTCAAAAATTGTTCCGTTCGAATTCGACAGAAGCCATCCACAAAAAGGCTTGAGCATCAATCTTGTGTCTTCCCACAACGGTTCGAGCTCAGCTGCACGGCTTACCCCATCTATGAATACGGCCTGTTCAGTAAAGAGCCTTCACAATTTCGCTACCCAAAAGAGGTACCTCCAGGCGCCCACATACGGAAGTGGTTTCGGGGCTTGTATTTCTCGGCCACTTGGCAAAGAGGGACAGCAGAGCTACCAGAATGTAAAAGTGGTGCGATTTCATGCCTCATACTTGCTTTTGCAACCAAGGCCAGTCCGAGTGCCATGCGAGTAGCCTGTGCTAGTGGAATATGGCTGAGACACAACTGATCATAACTCTCATGTGTCTGCATTTTGTCCACGAGGCGTAACCACCGTCACGCCACAGACAGAATGAGACTTGTTCGAGGTGTAAACGGGTTTGTCCAATCCCGGCTATATGTAAAAATGATTATGGAGGACAATTTCTGGTGTCTAGCTAGTGTTTTGTAAAAACAAAGGTATTTCTTCGCAGGTTTACACTAGAAAAAAGTACGTCTGGCTACAATTATCCGTGAACCGCGATTGTTTGCTTTTTCTTTGGCTGAGGTTGGCTACGGTGACTGGTGGAAGCCCTTGCGCCAGCATGAGACTTCGTCAGCTGGCTAGCCTTTCCAAGAATAGTGCCCGTATGTCAAGTGTGCGCCCTCAGGCACCATTGCCTTTGACATTGGCTAGACTATTTGGCCACTAGTCAGTGTACGAGACACTTTCTCTTATGTCCTCACCCATCTCACCAAACACGGGAAACCGTCGTTTTAGCCGAGACATGCTGGCCTGATGAGACGCATTGGCGTTGTGTCCATATGAAGGGTTATCAGGGAGCCACGCTTGCTGAAATATGCGGTACGCCCATACGTAGTACCACGTGAGATCCATGCGGAAACCACGTGCAGTCCTCCCTGTTCTTCGGAAACCTCCCACTTTCTGTTGAGGTAACAACAAATCCCAACTGTTATTTCTCGAGGGTTGGCGCTTGTTACCATCGATCGGGCTTTGTCGAATCGCTACGTTAATCTCATCAGCTTCACGAGTCGAATCTGACATTCAGATGGCACCTGTCGAGCTGGTAGAGCAGCAGGCTGCAAGCTACTCGAGTCCACAACACGGCAAAGAGCGAGCAATACCGCCCCCGGAGTCGAGGTCGAATTCGAACCAAGACGACAAACGATCCTCTGCCACCTATCTGACGATCCCCATATCAACCCATCCGGTGGCCACGCAGCACCGAAGGTCATGGATACGGCGATACTGGATATTTGTGTTAGCCATGGCAGTGCTGATCGTCGGCGGGATCATTGCTGGGGCCGTAGGGGAGATTACTGCCTCACGCCAGCAGAATACGCGAGGTCCTAGCTGAAAAGGAAGCTCCAAAGTGCGAGGCTCCTTGAACGGAGTTAATGCTGGACATGACGTAAGTGCTAGTTCAACCTTATGAATTTATTCTGTAGGAATTTGTCTCCCTCTGCGCAATATACAAACTGGCTGACATGGCAAGTGAATCGTTGATTCTATGAAATCCTCGCGCGTTCTAAATCATGGCGAGCTTCATCCATGACGGCATATACATGACTTGAATTTGAAAGCCATACCAGCTCTACATATGCTACTGCAGCTTTGATCAACATTCAGATTCACACGCATCAAGATGGCCGGTTCACTACGGTGATCGGTTTTGATAGTCTTCCGACCTAAAGCACAGCAACCAACGGATGACTGGACTTCCATGCCGGATTCGGGAATAAATTGATCTGCTAGGAGCCGGTCAGAACTTCGATAAGAAATGATGGTTAGAAGGAGATAGCGTAGATGGGTAGGTAAAAAGCTTAACGGAACAGGGAGAAGTGACTATACACGGAATTCTAGTGCTGGATACTAGACAGTTCAATAATCCCATGACTTCTGTCTGGGTGCCTTTTCAGACCAAGGCATCATTCTCCTCATGGGAATCAATTTACTAACCAGAGGTTGATAGTGTGGAGGACCAGGATAAGGATGCAAAATTTAGGCCGTTTATCATTGTAAGAAGAGCTACGGAGCTGATTTGATCATTATACTGCTTTTGTGGAAATGATTTAACTGAAGAATATGTTCACCTCACTGTTTCTTTCGAGTGTAATATCGGCGCTAAATTCGGTCCAACCCCCTTCTTGGTTTCTCCAAGTGCTATCTAAGAAAGAAGCTCCGCTGAAAATAATATCACGGCATCTTGATCTGGTCCGCGTAATCCTCAATTTTTTCACAAATCTCACATCATTAGATCTCGCTAACCCTGCTCAGTTTCGAGGCATAACCGCATTAGCCATCGCAGACCATTTGGTGTTGTTCTTTTCTCTGTCTTGACCCTTAATATATGGAACCCCCTTCGTCATCATTGGTTACTACAGTTTAGAGAGTTGTAGAGAACTTTTATGAAGAAAAATCGTCTATATTATCCTACCGTTTAGCTTCATATCGATGGAATGAATGTGCCTGAGCAGGAGGAAGACTTCCGGAGGGACGCGTGTGACCTCACTTATTATTCGGATTCTATACGGAACCAGATTCACTACGGAGTCCTGTAAGCAGGCGCAAACTTGCAGTTCACTGTTTGTCTGACATCGTTCGGTCTCTTCGGTGTGCCAGTGACAACATGCTATGCGCGCCCGACCAAATCCCAACCATTGCATGGTGCACGGACCACCTTGTCAATGTATAAGTATATCTCGAATTCCTTACACTCATTTCCATTTCTCGAACCAAGGATCTACAGACTAGCGCCTCTATCTTCTGTACTGAGCTCAACATGACAGAAGACTCCGACGTAACAATTTATCGGCACTATTGCCCGCCAGGGGTCAAACGGGTTATCGCATCAGGAAGTAGTGCGTTTATCGGAGAAGTCGATGACTACACTGTATTCAAATATCCTCTAGCGCCTAACGGAGACATGAGTCGACCAGAAGTTGAAAGAAAACTCCTCGAAATTGTTGGGCTGCATCCACGCATTATACAACTAAAAGGCGCCTCTGATACTGGCTTGTATCTAGAGCGTGCTGCTAACGGAACCTTGGCGGATTATATACTTGAAACCGCCAATCCTCCCCCTTCAATGCGCAGACGATTAGCCTGGTGCCGTGAGGCTGCTGCAGCAGTTTCAAGAGTTCACGACCAAGGACTTCTCCATTGCGATATCCAACCTACGAATCTGCTCTTAGATGAGGAGCTCCATGTTAAGCTGTCAGACTTCCAAGGGAAGAAGTTGTCTCCTGATGGATCAGTGCTGCTTGACGGTTGCAGTAGTGAACCTTGTCGATTCTATTGCCCACGCAATGACGCTTTTGATGCAAACATCAAGACGGAGCTCTTTGCCTTAGGGTGCACTATTTACTTTATTATGATGGGCCATGCTGTTTACCCTGATATTAAAGATGGCGAGGATGGATGGTATGAGAAGGTACAAGATAGATTTGTTCAGGGCAACTTTCCGCAGGATTCGCATGTCTGCACGGTAATCACCTCAAAGTGCTGGTTGGGAGAATATAAGTCTGCCTAGGAGCTGCTACAGGATATTGTATCTATAGAGGAGCGTATCTAGGGTCACACGACTCCAAGCTAGAAGTCGTGAATGTATCAAAAGAAGGCGCCAGGGCATGATACTACAAATACGTGGGGTCAAGAGCTACTTAGCTAGCGACAGCAGGAACCACTGGCTCTCAACAGTCAAAAATCCAACTAGTTTTGTCAAGTCAAGTCTGAGCGGACAGGGCTTAGTGCTGTGGTCACGTATTGAACTATGAGAAGCGTAGTGGGGAACGACGTTAATAGAAGTACAACCAGCAGCCAAACACTCATTTCTCGTCCAGGAACAATGTATTCACAGCATTCCCGCAGAACTATCATCGTGTCGAGAACTTTTCGAGCATACAATAAACATGTGTACTTTGTGATGCTGCTGCCAATATTACAAGGGGCCATCTACTAGTAGAAACCTCACTGTTAGGTTACTGACTGTAACACCCCTCCTGAGAGCCCCCGTATCCCCAAATGTCCCTCTCGGAGTTCTGGATCAAAATCCTGCCCTTTGGAATTTAGAGTTCGGATGTCCTGTAATCACCGGATAATCGGTTTCATCATACTTTGCTCGTCCAATGTATCAATGCAATCCACCCATGTGAGACCTCATTATGTCATCCTTTAAGACAAAGACGCCAAATATCGTCCCGGAAGAATAAAACTGCTCATTTCTCTTCATCGTCTTCTTCCTTTTCTACCTTAATGCAAGCTTGCTTGACGAACTTTTGCCCTGAAGTCTGATATATGTCACTGAAACCCCTATCATGGCTTCCTACCAAGGGCACTGCAATTGCGGCTCGATTAAGGTTACTCTCAGCAAAAAGCCGGAGAATGTTGTCGCCTGTCACTGGTACGAGCTTCTCCCAACAAGTCTAGACTTTCGCTAAGTTACCCACTTACCAGCGCAAACTGCAAGCGTGCCGGCGGTCGTACGTACATATTGGGAAACCGTTTTCGTCACCTGGTTGCCGCTGACATCAAGTAGCCTTCTCCATGAACTTTTTCGTTGACGATGGTCAATGGGAAATTGAGGACAATCAAAAAACGATGACAGAATATCAGGATCTTAACACTGATTCTGGGAACACCGTCCATGTGAATCCTAGCCATCCTCGAGAACTTCTGATCAGAGCACAGACTGACTATCAATAGCGCTTTTTCTGTCGCAATTGTGGAAGGTAAAACCAACTGTGATTATACACACTGTTATTCAATGGCTGATGGGATAATGAAAGCCCCGTTAAGACTACAGCAAAGCCGTTCCCAGGCAAAGCTATAATCAAGGCATCGCTCTTCGATGACATCCCCACGAAGAGAAGTGATATATTCGAGCACAAGGCATTAAACTGGGGATAAAGTTGATATAGATTGGTCATTCTCTTTTATCTGGCGTCCAGGGCCGTAGCATAACGGAGGTCCCGAATGGACAGTAGACGCATTCAGTAAATCCGGGATAACGAGATCTCCAGTTCAGGCATTACATTCGGTAGTGAGAAGTCCAAAAGGCACCAAGTCAGTGTGATTATTGAGTTCCATAATTTATCTCGATCGCTGCCACTACTTGCCTCTGCCTGTGAAAACCCCCTCTAAAACACGAAAAGACACATTTTCCGCGATTATCCGCTGCTTCTCCTACCATAACGATTTCACGCCACATCTACATCCCCCAATCCTTTCCTAGCTCCCCAAACTCACCCTTATATGTCGCATCTACCATTCTCGTGCGGTTCGAAGGAAATGTCCTATTGAAACCCCGGTATGCTCCAAGACTCGGAGGCAGATCCCGGACTCTTGTACCCCAGTTACTCTCCCGCCGCCCCAGAGTTAGCACTAGTTCCTGGCCTTCGGTGAAGAACTTGTGATCGACCCAGCTCTTCCTATAGGGTTCGCCATTCAAGGTTGCGCTTTGTATATATATATTTCGGTATTTCGGGTCAAAGTTGACAGTGCGGACGCGGGCGGTGAGTCCCGTTTCCGGATGAGTAATCTCGATGCTTTCAAAGAACGGCGGAATGATCAAGTATACATCCTGCCCAGGGTTAGGGAACAGGCCCATCATGGAAAATGCCAAGAAGGAACCCATGGCACCGCTGTCATCATTTCCCGGCAAGCCTGCAGGCTCAGCGGAGAAGAATGACGGGATGTAGGAATGGGCTCTCTTCGCCGAAAGACCCGGGCGGCCGGCGTAATGATACTGGAAGACTGTGAGGAACGCCGGCTCATTACCGATGTAAGTGATGTTCTGATCATGCAAGAAATTGAGTCGGCGAACAAACGCATCTGGGCCACCGTAGGTATCAATTAGCGTTCCCTGATCGTGAGGAACGAAGCTGCACGGATTAGCCAACAGAAGACCTTGTAAGAATGGGAATACTCACAACCCATACTCCCAAAGACTGCTTTCAAAAGTCTCAGGCCCATTGCTCTGCAAAGAACAAACGGCCTGCCCGTCCAGGTTGCTGCAGCTCAACGGGTCCTGGTACGCCCAGGTCTGGTTGAGGTATTTCGGTTCGAAAAAACCCCTGAATCCGGTGTCTGTCCCGTTGAAAAATGCAGACTTCTGGTCTTTTTTGTACAGGTTTTGCCAGTTGCCGCTCGACTTAAGATACCTCTCTCGATCAGACCCTCGTCCCATTTTGTTGGCCATCTGCGCGATGCAAAAGTCGTTGTAGCTGTATTCCAGCGTTCGGGAAACACTTCGCGTGAGTGTTCCGAAGCCTTTGACGTCGAAATCCTGAACAGGGATGTATCCAAGCCTCTTCCAACTGTCCATACCTCCGCGGCCATTGACACTCCAGTCAAACGGCTCCTGCTCCGCATCTTTTCGAACGGCTTCGTAGCCCATATTCCAATCAATACCCTCGGTGATGTTCTTCAAATAGGCATCTACCAGTACGTTGTCTGCGTTTGAGCCGCCTTGAGTGAAGCCTTTGCACAAACTCATTCGGCAATCCGGCAGCCACCCCAGGTGGGAATATGTGTCGATAAGTGATCTGACCATCTGGGCGACTGACGTTGGATCAATGATGATCAGAAATGGAATCTGCGACCGGAAAGAATCCCACAGGCAGTAGAATGAATCCCAGTACGGTTCCTTGCTCCTCCACAAAGGATTCTCTCCCGTATAATTCTGCGGGTTGATCATAGTCCTGTAGATGCCGCTATAGAAATTTCGTGCAAATGATTCGTCAACTCTCGTTGTGTTGATTTTGATGGGGCTAAGTTTCCTGCGCCAAACAGCTTTGGCCTCCACCGAAACTCGAGCGAAGTTGAAGTCGGGAATCTCGTTCGCAGCATGAGCGCAGGCCCGCCTTTCACTGATGAAACTGGTAGCGACGCGTGCAATGATGGGTTTATCCGCAGACTTGAAGCGCACAAAAGCACCTCCTGGTAACGGATACCCGTTGATTGATCTGGAGATGGTCAAGTTCTTGACGTCGGTGCTGGCACGGCTGTCTACAAAGATTCCGTTGTCGAGGATCTCGGCGCCGTGGAAGTCCGTACAAAAGTACAAGACGTAATCGCCGCTTCCAAAACTGGGCTGGAAGCGCGCATTTCCCCTGATCTGTCCCGTCCTTCTGTTGACCCTGATCGAGGCGTTGTCTTGTCGTGTATCGCCCAGGTCAGTCAGGTCTTGCAGGATGAGAGGCTTCCCTGCTTGCGGAAAGTTGAACCTGATGAGGGACGCCCGCTCCGTCGCTGTCATTTCGACTCTGATGCCAGTTTTCAATGTGATGTTGAACAACCCCGGTTGCGCGATTACATCTTTCTTGTCAAAATACCCATATTGTGCCCTTGACTTCTTCGGAAAAGTACACTCGTTTACCTGTCCGCTAGGACAAGTGGTATATGCAAACAGCGGGAAATTGCCTAGCGAAGGTTGCCCGCCGGTACCAGAGTCGTGCATCGTTGAAAAGCCGGTGACCGGACTACCATCCAAAGTAAAGCCGCCTTGGTTGGAGCTGCTGTTGGTATCGGGAGAGGCTTTGGCCATTCCGTAAGGCAATGTTGCGCCGACGAACACGTTGCCCCCATTGTCTGAGCCGATAAGAGGATCAACGTACCGCAAGGCGTCAAAATCTTCCTCCGCAACGACTGAAGCCGAATTCGTCAAGTCGGAAATGCTGGAGCCGGAGACCCAGTTCGAGGCGGCATGCACAGCTTCGGAGGCTGCATGTTGAAGTGATGGGAGATGGGTTCCTGGCATGAGCAACCAACGGAAGACAGCCAGAAGACCGTGAATCGACCACAGCTCTTCCCACATCGTGACTCTGTTATCTCCTATTGATTGATGAAAGATACCAAGGCCTCATCGATTTTGTGAAAAGTTTTTTGCTCACTTTCCCTACATGTATTAAACGGCTTTTGAAGCGACCACGTGACAGAAGGCCAAAGCTAAATTTGGCCCCAAGTCGTAGCAAGCTTTCCTTTGAGCTCTCCCGAAAACGTCCCGCAGGCTCCGATAGGGTGATCATTGGATATCATGGAGTACGGGAAACAGCCGTCGCTTATTACGAACCCAAACTTACCGACAAGCTTTATCAGGGAGAGTGGAAGCATTACTTGCCCTCTTAGGTGCATTGATTTCCGTTACATCCCCGATGCCCCTCCAGCCAAGGTCGTACGCTGGAAGACGGTCATGTTCTTCTCCCGTTGCATGACTGAAGGTCCGCTTGGACCGCTGTCATAGCACCGTGAAGCATGCAGCTGTAGCAGAAACTTGGATGATGGGGGCGGAAGCAAACAAGTGTTCGCAAAGCTGACCGTTTCGGATTAGAAACGCCCATTCACTTTTGACTTTTGGGTATTTTGTCTTTGAATTTCCTCCCAAGATGGTATGGTTTGGTTCTTGGGGTGCGCTTGGCGGTTGCCACCTTGTTATTCGCGAGGACTGTAATACACGCCTTTCCCGATGCCGGTCATCGTATATTTTGTTCGAGAATATGCCAATGGAAGGGTGTTTGAGGCGGTAGCAATGAGATGAAAGACGATTGGGTCCATGGCAATATTCTTGTTAAAATGATGCGCCGTGGACGTACACCTCAACAATAACTTCAATCCAGGCTTAAGTTGAGTTCAAAGATGTTGACAATGGTCCCCATCGGTGGCGTAGCAAGTAAATATCATGGTCATGGTTAGGTACAGCACCACGTCCAGGTATTGAATCCTGCGGAACCCATCAACCGGCAACACCGACAAAGGCATTGTCGACATGTTGTCCGAACTTTCCCAGGCATTTTGAAACCGCCGGCTCTTGTAATAGACTGCATTTTAATATCATGCCGTTGTCGTCCTGCTGAGAGACATGGGCGGTTGCTGGCCTAGGCTAAACCTAATTCAAGCTCACGTCCATGACAGAGATTCTAGAAACTAAAACATAGCCACGGCGTTGGAAGGTGAAGCCACAATATCAGGCAGGTCCAGAGGCGCCGAGCTTGGCAGAAAGCAGTTAATCCCGCAGTCTTTGCGCAGTGAGCTGAAAACTCCTTCATGGCCCAAGGCCCGCAATTAGGTATCCTAAGTACGTATAACTCCCATGGGCGTAGTATCGACTCCGTTCGAGGCGGTCGCACAAGTGGGTAATACAAACGCAGAGTTTCCTCTTTGGAACGGTAGCTAGCTCAGAAATGCTCTCATCGTAGTGTCCTTGATCCGCTCACCAAGAAAGCTCAACATCTTATCGATTTTGGAGAAGCTCCTTATAGCTTTGGGGGTCGTTATTAGCTGCAGCTATTTCCTTATGAACTCATTCCTGCACATACTGGCACGCCACAATCCCATGTATTGCGTAGTATGATAGATCCGGAATCTTTTGGTAACCGGCAAGGTTAAATGCGAAGGGATTACCCTGCAACTCCAAATTTGACAGAGATGGCTTATTTTCCGCTACGCTCTCGGTATTAGCGTGCGACTTGGAACTTCATTGTTACTGACGAGCGAGCTCATGAAGCTGCTCTGGGATGTAAGCCGCTTCCAATCGACATCGATTCCTTCGTGCTCCTCTTCTTTTTCTGTCTAATCACAAAAAGCCTCGATCAAAGTAATTAAGGCGCTGGGAATGCATATGAGCATGCACTGGCTCGACGCCGCGTTTGAATAGGCTCGAAGGGCGTTTCAACTGACCTAGAACTTGTTAGGGAAGCCAGATGGGCACGAAAGAATCACGGCACGGCTGCCAAGATCTTCAACATTGGGCACGGGAGCAATCGAGCAGTCAGAACTGATGACCCTACTGGATGCGGTCTATAATTCGTCGTACGATTCTACCTCATCAGAACGTGGCGTAGCACAGATAGTATTAAATATCATTGACACTCCATAGAGCTTGTACCGCCTGACCAAAGAGGGCGTTCTTTCGTCGATGGCAAAACTACTGTTCAGTAGCTTCAAGGGCCGCAAATTCGGCTGAAGAGGCTGGTGAGGTCAGGTCCAGGCTCTGATGCGTAAGCTGTGTAAGTTCCAATGCTCTGCATTGCGACGGTAACACTGTTGATCTCGCTAGGCTTGACTTTTATGAACCCGGACCTCGTCACGCTTGCATCGTCGATACCATTTCTGGAGTTTGTGTCAATTGCCGACTTGCACAGAAACGGGCTTCTCCAGCTCTAATGTATGAGAGGGATGGTAAAATACATCATGTATCTTAGTTCCGCTCACACCGATATCAATGCGGAGACGCTATGGTCTCGAGGCCATGTTTGTCACGTCTATGCGAGTCCTGAATGACCCCTTTCAGCTGGTTTGAATAATCTGTTGGTTCACCGTCAACCCACTCGGGAAACTGGGAGAGGTGGAGAAACGAGGGCAACAGTTGCTCAGCGGCCGGCCGAGATTCCTCCGCCACCGGAATGGCGAGCAGATTCGGACCTGGACCGGCCCGCCAAGGACGGCAGATTCAGGCGACGTCCAGAGTCGCATCCAATTAGCCCCCGCATGCTGGTTCAGAAATATGATGTCCACTGGCTTACAATCTCGCCACATACGTGTACGGTGTTTCCGCCATTGTGGACCGTCATTAAGGCGCCTCCGACCCTTTTCTGGGCCACTTCGCACTGGAACAAGAGGGCCTCGTCTTCATTCGCCCGCTGGCGATGGCGTGCTCGCGGAGGGCCTCGTGGCGTCCCTAAGCAACACAAACAGTCAACTACCCCTCCCCCGCGAGTACCAACGCGCGGCTTTCTAGAACTGTGCAGCCAAGCGAGCGGTCACTTTGCTTATCTCGTCTGTGCAGGATGCAGTCGCCAGGACCAGAGCCATGGTATTTCGCACCAAGTGGTGTTGGCCTTCTAGTGCTTATATCTGCAGCCAGAAGCAGAGCTCATTCTCGGCACCGAACGGTAGCGTGCCGGCCTCTTCTGCCTCTATCTTGTTAATGTGGGAATATACTGGTGCACATCCTGACGGACGCCTAGTATCCCCTTTGGAATTGGGGAGAAACAGGAGGGCCCTGGTGCCGCGGCGATTCTGTCGCTCTAATATGTCATAGTCTCGTCAACACCCAAAGCTTTCGTGGCGCCAACTGAGATTGCTTGCCCCCCTCCCGGTCGTCGTTTATAACCCCTTCAAGGAAATTTTGACTCATAGTGACATCGCAGCGGTAAGCGCCTCTTTCCGTGATATCTGTCATAGCAGCTGGATGTGGATGGAGAAGCGGCATGGGTGTGTGGGTTGGCTGGCCGTGAGAGCGTGCATGCCTGCGGCTGTCCAGACATTTGAAGAAATCATATCCGCACTTTTCTCTTTCTATCCTTGATTCGTGCCTCCCTGTCCTGGGCTGCTAGTCTGGTCGGCTAAAGTTCCCGATCAAGGCGACACATGTAAGGGCGAGGCGTGAGTGATATCGCATCTCCGGGACAGAGCCAGCCGAAGGTTCAATAATCAAGTGTATGGCGACATTTCCTTCGGCTTGACCTGTTGCTCGCCGCGTCCTTTGAGTAACACCTGAATCGCGATTAGGAGTCCGACGATCCATTGCGTTCTAGGCCGCTTCTGTCACGAACGACGCTCCCAGCTATGTGGCGATTTGTGATTCTTAGCCGTACACCTAGGCAGCGCGAGCAAAGTGCTTCAACTAGGCCGTCTATATGATCGATCAACGCAGCTTCTTACCGGGGACCCATGCCCACACACCACATCCTAACTACGCATGATGCCGATAGACTGGACAAATCTGAGCAGGCTGTATTCTACCCGGCGTCATTCTAAAGCACTCTCGCCGGCCAATTCTAGCCGAAGCATCTCCCGTTCCCGTTCAGCTGGAACAGAAGGGTGACATTATACCCCACGTCCCGTACTTGATGCCTAGATAGGTTCTCGTATGTAATAGCCCCAAAGTTCCCCTGCCGAATCATGTGACAACTTGCCACTTGTGGAGAGACCAAGAATACTAAGAGCGACCGTCTGAGCTGATCGTGGCCGTGTAGAAGTTTCATCCCTACCGTCTTGGATAGCTGGCTGGCTGGGTGCCTTCCCGCGATGCTCAGACCGAACAAGCAACGACAAGCTCGCAGACCAAGCCTTCAGGCTTCGGCACAGAGATCGTCAAGGCTTCTGGGCGCGGACGCACAAATTCATGGAGGGAGAGAAGGATGGGGGTCGAGAGTCTCTTAGTGTTGTTTGTTTGGCGCGGATGCGCAATCCCTTGGAATCGGGATGATTGTTTAACGCTGGACTCATTTACGCCAAGTATTGCGTGCTCAACACCATCGTCCAATATGCATCCCGCGCCCCGGTCTTTTTTTCCCCCTTTCCTTTTTTCCACCCCAACAACTACACGCCTCCATGCCGGTCGTCTTCTCACATCACACTTCACTTCTTCCAGCCCCTAAAAGGAATAGACAAAACAGGGACCAGCTCTCTTTGGAATATATGGGAGGGGGGCTATCTTGCCCATCCCGCCTGCTGGGGCTTCGCAACAGAGCGGGGAGCGTGGAGGAAGGGAACGGTGGTGGTAACAGTCAGCACCACGCCAGTGAGTGACATTGTCGAGTTTTCCTATCTCGGGTCTTCGGCAGGACATATGGGTCATACGGTATCGCGGATGAAGATGATATCAGTGACCGACGAACCCGCCCGGCATTTAAGCTTAATGAGAGGGCCTCCGCCCCGATGTACTGGAAAGGGCAGAAAGATGGCGTACAAGCAGAGTCATCATACGTGTCTGCTGTATAGACATAGCCGGAGGTCCTGCGGGATTGAGGAGGCTAGTCACACCGCACGCCGCGGAGAAGGAATCTTTAGTTGATCGTTTCTCATTTCTCGGCCGCCAGGATCCCAGACATCCCGCAGAATCGGAAAGTCCTTCTCGTTCTGGAACGCGATTAGTCTGGCCATCTACCGATCAGCCCCAGTGCCAGCCGCCGTTTTGCTGGCACATCTATCCTGGTCCGATGGTGGAAGAAGCTGAAGCGCCACATCCTGGTCATGAGAGTTGATTTCGACCTCATGAAGGTCGGAGAGGCAAAGTCAGAGAGAAAGAGGGAGTGGGAGAGAGACAGTTAGAGACAATCTAGTTCACCATGTCGTGTGTGCGCGTACTTAGCCCCCCCCCCTTCAAAGTCTGTGTATCCTGTACATATTATATAGCGGCATAGCCGTGCTGTAGCTAGCTACAGATGGCACATGCCGAATCAGGGCCATCCCGGCTCACGCTGAATCGGACGGCGGAACTGCTTTTCTGACCTCTCCCGCACCCCCACGCTCATTCAGTGTCATTAATCGCAGCCGCCGGGCGAAGGAGTCAACGAGTGGCCCTCAACCTAATTAGCCTATGGCAACCAAGACAGTCCCGTCCAAAGAGTGGAAGAGGAAGTGGTGCACCCGAACCTTCGCAGCATTCCACGTACATACACCAATACTCATACAGACAGTTCCAGCCGACAGAACCCCCCTGATTAGCTCGTCCCAAGGTGTAAAAATGTGCGGACTGTGTAGAATGCGTGTCCCCCCTCGGGGTGGCCTAGCCTACAGAGATGAGAGATGCTACGCCGGAACATGGATTATCCCAGTGAGCCATATCAATTCCCAGGATGAAGGCGCCGGCCGGGCGTGAGGCTAATTTCTCTACATGGTCAAGCAAAGACAAATGAGAAGCAGGCGAAGGAGAGTTGAAGGGTGTTGGCCCAATGCAACGCAACCAATATTGACAATGTCGTCAGAAAAATGGCGTTCATCCGCGTTCACTCCCCCCCGTCCCGGGCCGCATGTGGGAGTACGTTACCAACAGGGCTCCAACTGAGCCCTTGGCGAGACCTGGACGATCCGAAGCCATGGTTCTTGGCGACGCGGCCAAGCTTTACTCCCCAGAAGGGATAGCATCATCACAACTCACGTCTTGTTGCCGCATATAAATAATAAGGTTTCCTACCTGACCCTGTCTTCCGTCGATTAAGTTGGTCGTCTCCTGGCCCCAGGCAGCATCTTCTTATAATAGACACGCACACCTCCCCCTCCTGCGCGGTCTTCCATTCCCCCGCCATCCCTTCCTCTCAGCTGTCGTCCGGACGTCAAAGTCCAGCACCACCGCGGCATCCGGGATCGATCTCTTGAAGGAATATTTCTCCAGGGAGACCGTCCCAAAGGACGCCCCCGCCCTGCCATGCCGAGCACCGTCGGACGAACCCTGGCCAAGGGTCTCGGCATCGACGTCGACGCCCGATACCGCAACGAGCCTACCGAGGCCGTCCAGTCGGCCGCGGCTTCCTTTCGCTCCATCGAGCAGTACGAGGAGGAGGAGCCCACCGTCGCCGAGTTTCTCTACGCACACAGACCGACGGTCCACGGCGCGGTCGCCTACCTCAAAAGCCTGTTCCCCTTCTGGTCCTGGATCTTCCACTACAACGCGACATGGCTCCTTGGCGACGTGATTGCCGGTAAGTCTCCTTCCTTCATCGGACAGAACAATAGCCTGACAGGTCGTACGAAGGTGTAACGGTTGGTTTCGTGGTCATTCCCCAGGGCATGGCTTATGCAATCCTGGCCAAGTTGACGCCCGAGTACGGTCTTTACACGTCGTTCGTCGGTTTCCTCTTGTACTGGGCGTTCGCGACATCCAAGGACATCACCATCGGGACGGTGGCCGTCATGTCGCAGCTCGTCGGCAACATCGTCTTGCGCGTGCAAGACTCCCACCCGCAGTACAGCGGGCCGCAGATCTCCCAGGCGTTGGCCGTCATCGCCGGCGCCGTCCTGCTGTTCATCGGCCTGGTGCGGCTGGGCTGGATCGTCGAGTTCATCCCGCTCGTGGCCATCACCTCCTTCATGACCGGCGCCGCCATCAGCATTGCCGCCGGCCAGGTGCCCGCCCTCCTCGGCCTGCAAGGCGTCGTCACCCGCAACGCCACCTACCGGGTGATCATCGACAGCCTCAAGGCATTGCCGACGGCCCGGCTCGACGCGGCCATGGGTCTGACCGCCCTGTTCCTGCTGTACGCCGTCCGTTCCTTCTGCAACTTCATGTCGGACCGGCAGCCCAACAGGAAGAAGTTCTGGTTCTTCATGTCGACCCTCCGCATGGCCTTTGTCATACTCCTCTACGTCTTGGTCAGCTGGCTCGTCAACCGCCACGTCAACTGGAGTGCCAAGAAGGCCAAGTTCAAGATCCTCGGCATCGTACCCAGCGGTTTCCGGCACACCGGGGCGCCCAAGATCGATACCGAGCTCCTCTCGGCCATCGCGCCCGATCTGCCGGTGACCATCATCGTCCTCATCATCGAGCACATCGCCATCTCCAAGTCCTTCGGCAGAGTCAACAACTATGTCATCAACCCTTCGCAGGAGCTGGTTGCCGTCGGCTTCACGAACCTGTTCGGGCCCTTCCTCGGCGCGTACCCTGCCACCGGCTCGTTCTCCCGAACCGCCATCAAGGCCAAGGCCGGAGTCCGCACGCCGCTTGCCGGCATCTTCACCGCCGTCATCGTCCTCCTGGCCCTGTACGCCCTGACGGCGGTTTTCTTCTACATCCCGATGGCCTCCCTAGCCGCCCTGATCATCCACGCCGTGGGTGACCTCATCACGCCGCCCGAGGTCGTGTACCGGTTCTGGGAGGTGTCTCCCCTCGAGGTCTTCATCTTCTTTGCCGGTGTCTTCCTCACCATCTTCACCACCATCGAGAACGGCATCTACCTCACGATCTGCGCTTCCGCCGCGCTCCTTCTGGTGCGTCTCGCAAAGGCCAAGGGCCGCTTCCTCGGCCGCGTCAGAGTGTACCGCGCCACCAAGGATACCGCCGGCAAGGGAGTTCCGTTCAACGAAAAGGGCGAGTCGGTCGACGTCCCGTCCCGCGAGGCCTACATCCCCCTCGAGAAGGATGACGGCTCGAACCCCCACATCGACGTCGAGACCCCCTACCCCGGCGTGTTCGTCTACCGCTTCGGCGAGGGCTTCAACTACACCAACCAGGCACACTACATGGACCGCTTGGTCGAGTACATCCAGAGGAACGCCCGCCGCACAATGCTTGACCGTTATGAGAAGCTTGGCGTAAGTCGCATTTTTTTCTTTTTACCATTAACCCCCCCCCTCCCACTCCCCACGGTTCCCTAGATGTTGACGTGGATGCTGCAGGACCGCCCCTGGAACGACCCCGGCCCGCGGCGCGGAGCCAAGATCGACATGGACGACCAGCGCCCGATCGTCCGGGCCGTGATCCTCGACTGCTCCGCCGTCAACCACATGGACGTGACGTCCATCCAGGGCCTCATCGACGTGCGCAACCAGCTGGACCACTACGCCGAGCCCGAGGTCGTCGAGTGGCACTTTGCCAACGTCAACAACCGCTGGACCCGGCGGGCGCTCGCCGCCGCCGGCTTCGGCTTCCCCTCGGTCAAGGACGAGGGCAACCTCAGCCGGTGGAAGCCCATCTACAGCTTCGCGCCCGTCGACTCGGCCCCCGACCACGCGCCGCAGATGGCCGCCCGGCGCAGCCGCGGCGACGAGGAGGACGCCATCGCCCCGACCAGGGGCAACGGAGGCAACGACGGCGGTGCGGCGCAGGTGGCGGGCCGCGGGGACGGCAAGCTCGCCGCCGTTCAGGGCATGAACAGGCCGTTCTTCCACATCGACGTTGCCGCGGCCGTGGAGAGTGCCATCCTGAACGCCGAGAGCAAGAGTGAGGGCCGGGAGTCGCCGGCGAACTCGGTTTTGAAGGGTGGTTAAAAGATGAGGGGGAAAAAACGACACCAAAAAAATGATAATTAGAAAATTACCAAAGAATAAATAAATAACAAAAGAACATTTGGCTGTTTGTCACCATACACGGGCGAGGACGTGGGCGCAGCGGATTGTTCTTCGATACATATTATTAGATACTGATACCAGAGTCATGAAGATGCTCTTATTGTTGCATATGTCGCTCTAGATAGGGCTGAGCCGATGGCAAACATGATTGTTAAGTCTTCTTGTTGAATCACGACGTGCACACGTCCGTCCCCTTTCAATTGGATTGTCTTGGCCGTTATGAAGCCCTTTTTCCCCGCCAGTGCCTCTTTCGAGGCTGTAATCCGTGCATCGAGTCAATAAGGAGTCTACCTGAAACATGGGTGATGCGGCTTGGCGTCCACGGTGACATTGTCGCAACGCTGCCGATCGGTCGGTCCTCTTTGGACAAAAGCTCGAGCGTCGGCGCGCGGATTTCATCCAAAAAAAAAATCCCTTCAAGTCTCTGTCTGCAACTGTTCCAAGGCTACTACTACTTTTGTCCTGACCGCGGCCAGTCTCTAGAAGAAAGGAAAAGGAGACGAGACGAGACGAGACGAGACGGAAAGAAAAGAAAAGAAAAGAAAAGCATGCGACTATCGTCAGGTTCAATACTGCGAGCCTCCCTCGTGGCGGCGGCGTGGCTCGCCTCCGCCGTCCTCGCGATTCCGCAGGTCGTAGACCGCGAAGATCCGCCACCGAATCCTCCTCCGGCACTATCGCCCCAGTCCCCGATCGCGACGGCCGAGCAGGTCGAGATCACGGGGCCCAACCAGACGACGGCGACGGCGACGGCGCCGCAGCAGCAGAACAAACCGCCGATCCCCATCACGGTGCACCTGTTCGAGAGCTCGCCGGGCGTCAAGACGTGCCGCGGGTCGGCGTTCGTCACGATGGTGCTGCCGGCGGACGCGGCGAGGGAGCCCGCGTTCACGAGCAGGGACGGGCAGTGCTACGAGCTGTCCGAGACGGCGCAGTGCGGGATATTCGCGGGCAACAAGGCGGACGGGTGCGAGGCGAAGCTGTTCCGCGGGTCACGGTGCACCGAGTTTGCGAACCTGGCCGTGTTCCAGGAGGAGCTGCGGCCGGTGGGGGGCTTCTTCGCGAGCATCAGCATCAAGTGCGGCATCGCGCCCGTGGAGCCCAAGCCTCTGAGCCTGGGGAACCTCGGCGGGAAGCTGCAGAAGCCGCCGGGCAAAGGGTCGAGGGCGGCGAGGGCAGTGGACGCAGCGATGAGGGCTGCGTGAGGGCAGGGCAGGGCAGGGGGAAGGGGAAGGGGAAGGGGAAGGGGAAGCGGAGGGAGGGCTCTTCGGGATTTATTTCGGATCTGGCATGGTGATTTGGCAAGGCGTTTTGGGCGTGAACATGGACATTGGACAAAAAGGCCCCGGTCAAGGAACCGACGCTGGGGCACCGGGACGACGGCATTCCAGATGGATGGACGACTGTCGGTGTCTGTCCGACATGGACATCATCACATCGGGCAGCGCGCATCTGTACTGCATATGATTTGCGGGTGATTAATGATAATGTGACTTTGACGGCACACACCACCACCACCACCCCTGTGCGCCTTTTGGTCCTCGACAGGAGAGGAATAACGCCGGCGGTAAAATACCCAACACAACACCACCACACCACCCACCACCTACCGTTCCTCGAGACACACACGCGCGGAGAGCGGCCACGATTGGGATTAGCTGTGGCCCTAGTCACCCCGCCCCCCCCCCCCCCCCCTCCCCAAGCTGCTTGCCTCTCAGGTGACAGAAGCATAAAAGAAGGATGGCCAAGGAGGGCGCCTGCTGCTCGGCTCTCCCAGGCCGGACATGCCTTGTGACTGGCTCGATTCCGTGGACCGGTCATGCTAGCGGCGACCAAAAACATTGACCGACGAGGATCAAACAGGAGGGGGCCACAGCCGGACCACTTGGCGGGTATTATTGGGCTGCTCGCCCGTTGATAGGTCCGTGCTCGAATAGAAAGAAGAAGAAAAGGGTGAGGCAATCAAATCCATCGTCGGGCGATCTCCAAGAGCTTGTCACCTTGCAGCCCATTCCTGTCTGTGTGTGTGTGTGCCTGTCTGTCTGTCTGTCTGTCTGTCTGTCTGTCCGTACCTAATAGTGGTGTAGTTAGTTGCAGCGCGAGATATATACCCCGACAAAGAGTCCCCGTCAACTCAATCCATGTCTTAACTTAGAATTAAAACCAGGCCACAACTCGCAGCCCGTCAGACAAGAGAGTCAAAGTTGCGTGCGTCTCTCTTTGGGATCAGATCAGACAGCCCCAGCGCGGCTTTCTCCCCAAAGACGAACCCGCCCGTCCGATCTGAAGTCCCAAATGTGTCATCTCGTCTCAGGCTCTTCAACCCCTGGTACCACCCACGAGAGGCACCCGTCCCACCACCCCCCCCCCCCCCTTTGCCATACCGCATATAACCACGTAAGGGTTCTCGTTCCCTCTGTTTTCAGTGTCTGCTGCCACTTTACCTCGTTTTCCCGACGCAACCTTTTTTTTTTTTTTATTCCTTTCCCGACCTCTTTACTTTTTTGCGTACATTCTTTCGCTTCTCAGTGGCCGGCCACTTTTAACGTTTGGGTGTCGTTTGTCCAGTAGGGTCGTTTTTGTCGCAGTCCTCTCGTTAGCTCTCCCAAGTCGTGTGTGTGCGTGTGTGTTTGTATACATCCCGATATCCTACCATCATCGCCAACGACAACAAACCCCCCCCCGATCGATCGGCCCTCAGCACGCACACTCGAGTGATACATCTCGCGATAAGAAAGAGAAGGATATAAAAAACACACACACACATACACATATACATATATATATATATATATATACTGTTATATATATACACAAAAGACAAGATGCACGCCTTCGGCTTCGCTCGGGTCCTCTTGGCCGTCTCCGTCTTCGCCGACGCCGCCTTCGCCAAGGCCATCGAGGTTCCCGGCATGGCCGTCGTCGTCCGCCAGGCCGCGCCGGCCCAGTCGACCATCATGTCGTGCGGCGAGTACTCGCGCATCGCCAACCTCTCCACCGTCGGCTCTAACAGCACCTACCGCGCCACCTTCTTCGCCGCCTCGCCCAACGGCAACCAGTTCAACGCCGAGGTGCTCGACACCGCCATCGCCAAGCTGCCCTCCGTCATCATGGACCGCCCCCTCAACGAGGCCTGCGGCAACCTGACCGCCCTCGCCATCCAGGAGGCCGCCAACAACTTCACCATCCGCACCGTCCTCCAGTTCTCCAACATCCCCGTCCCGAAGCCCCTCGACGTCGGGCCTGATATCATCTTCTGCTGCGCCCTTGCCCTGTTCTTCATGGGCGGTATCTGGTTGACCATGCCGTAAGAGCATGAGGCCGTCTTCTCGTTGTTGTTGTTGTTGTTGTTGTGTTGCATCAAAAGAAAGCGACGGGCGGTGGCGAAGGGGGGGACGAGGACGGGAGACAGACGTATCGAGGTCACGGTCACCGGGGAAGAGGGGGGATCCTGAACAAACTTAATGCATCTCCGTTCACTACTCGGCCGAGTTGCTCTTGTTTGCCTTTGAACGTGGTAACAGGACATCAGTTACGTTTAGCGTGGAGTTGGACGAACACAGCTACGATACCCAATTCGAGTCACACATCTGAAGCAGCAAATGCCGGTGCCCCTTCCTCCGCTGTGAATTGGTCCGTCGCGTGAAGAGAGAAGGGTGGATGACGCTTGTCTCGTTTAGTATGTCAAGCTGGTTCTGGGTGAAAAAGTAGTGGGTTAAGGTCATTGATAGTTGTTTCCATCCAAGACCCAACAGCGTCAAGTAACCCAACCCACTCGTTCAGTTCGGTCTTCACTCGAGGAGCCACACCCAGTCCCATTCATTGAACGTGACAAGACGTCGAACCGAATGTTCAGTACAAGGTTGTTAGGACCTTCACAGGCAAGAACGCTCACACAGGTCGAATTAAAGCAACATGCTAACAAAACACCCTGGACGCGGATCGATGGATGTATAAATTCACAAGCTTCTATTTGTCCGCTTTCTCGATCACTACTCCTTGCCAAGAAGCCATCTCATCCCGTTCATCGTGTCCGGGCCCAAGCTCGCGGGCGAGTCGGCGGGGGCGTAGATAGACCAGCCCTGGTGGCCCCAGTTCGGGTACCTGTCGACCCTGGCCTCGACGCCGTTGTCCCGCAGCAGCTTCGCGTAGACCAGCCCGTCGTCCCTCAGCGGATCCCGGTCCCCGACCTGGATGTAGGCCCTGGGGCACTTGGGCAGCGCCGCGGGGTCGTTGACGGGCGAGAACCACGGCGACCTGACGTCCGGCTCGAGGCCGCGCATCACGACGTCGTCGACGAGGGCGCTGGTGAAGGCCGGGCTCCACGTGGCGTTCTCCTCTCGCGACACCCACTCGGCCGCGTACTTCTCGGGCACGATCTCCTTGACGACGAGGAGCGGGATGCCCAGCATGGTGCCGGTGACGCCCAGGCCCTCCACGCCGGACCGCTGGCCGACGACGGCGGCGATGTTGGCGCCCGCCGAGTAGCCGCCGAGCACGAAGCCCTTGGCGACGTCGGCGCCGAACCGCGCGGCGTTCTCGGAGAGCCAGACGGCCGTCTCGTACCCGTCCTTGACGGACCGCGGGAACCTGTTCTCGGGCGCCAGCCGGTAGGTGGCGTTGACGACGACGGCGCCAAACTCGAGCGCGAACTCGCGCGCCGGCCGCGTCACGGGCTCGACGCCCGCGACGATGAACCCGCCGCCGGACCACAGCAGGATCAGGGGCCGGCCTCCCCCGTCGCTCTCGTCGACGCCGCGCGGCCGGACGATCTGGAGGTCGATCCCGTAGCCGTCGGGGAGCGTCGCGACGTCGCGGAACTCCTCGAGCGAGGGGTCCAGCGGCGGGAGCGCGGCCAGGAGGCTCTGGATCAGCTGGGGCCGGCCCTCTCGAGACTTGACGTAGGCTTCCATGTTGGAGAGAGAGAGAGAGAGAGAGAATACAAGAAACGCTGGGAAAGGCGCGCGGCGGGTTTGCTGGCGGGGGGTGGTCCTCGCTCGATGTAACTGTTGACGGCCCAAGAGTGAAGACTGAGATACACAGCTATACAACGCTACAAGAAAGAAACACTGCAAGAGAACAACACGGATTTATCGTGTCAGAGTATGGGCGAAGGGAAGAGGTCCCCCCCCTTTAATGCACAGACTCGGAACCGCTTCTCTCCCCGCCCCCACACGACTCAAGAGTGTGGGCGGTGGGTCCGGGACGAAGTCGAGAACGCGGGGGCGTCGGCCGTGATGCGATCTCGGAGGTTGTTGTTTCTTAGCCGAGGTCGAGGTTTCGCAGCATCTCTCACCTACACGAAGCCTCCTCCATTGCCGCAACGCCGAGTGCGGCTCTCGCGGCCCGGCACCACCGGACAAGAATGCCGTGAGTCGACCCGCAGATTTTGGGCGAGGGGGGGGGGGGGGGGAAGCACTTGGTATCCAGCTCTAGGTCCCCTCTCGTCCGCCACCAACGATGGTGTATCACAACAGGCGGACAAGATAGACACCCACGGCGGTGCAATGCCTGCTGTATTGCGAAAGTCGACAGCGAAATTCCGAGAAGAGGTGTCTGGTAGTTGCAAGGCGGATCGCGTGCTTGGCAGAGTGGAAACATATGAGCGAGATAGGGGAACACAGAAACAATATAGTTCCACGCGCGTCAATATCAGAAAAGAACAAGACATTTATGCCCGCGTACCCTGCCACTCTCAATGCGAAACACAAAAGTAAAAGGTAAAAAAAAGAAAATTCGATGAAACGTTTGGATTGGCTGAATAGCCGCTGGCTGAATGCACGTCTTGATCGTTTTACATCTGCTCTTACAGAAAAAAGAAAGAAAAAAAAACCCCCCGGTCGAAAAGCTGCTGGCTACGACTGCCGGGTCCCCCAGGTCGAGAATGTACCGATGATATAAAGGACGAAGCCAATCATCTCTTGCTTGGTTGAAAAGACGAGAAAGAAGGGGGTGGTGTATCCTTCATGAAAGGGAAAATTGCAATATGAGCAAACGATGCCAGCACTTGAGCTTCGCTATCACGCCCGAGGCCAGTCAGTAGCCGGTTTCCAAAGACGGTATGTATTATGCGTCTCTTTCAACGGAACTACACATTGTCCTCAATACACCTCTGTAACCAAGGTAAATCCGACCGAGGGGAAGAGGGCCGCTGACCAATCAAAACCACATCGCAAACATCAAGACCGCCCTTCGAATATTCATCGCCTTTGATTACATCATCAGCACATCTTCCCACAGCATCATCATCATCATCATCATCATCATCATCATCAACAACACCCGTTCTCATCCCCTTCCGGCACTCGG